ATGCAAATTAGCCTGCAGTACCACTGCTCTACCCATATGAGCAGCAAAAACACGTTTTTAGACCAAATATTACAGATTACACAACAAATACGTACAAAAACATCCAAATTAGCACAGAATCAGTACTATATAACATTTTAGACACATTCTAGACAGTTTATCAGCTAAAAAAAGTTAATTTTGGGGTAAGTTATTCTTTAAAAGCCGACTGGGCTTCTAATTTATTCTGCACCTCGAAAAGGACCAAAAGCTAAGAATACATGATGCACTTAGGAGCTGATCTGTGTTCAACATCAGTGTTTCACAGGCAGAGTTGTAAAGTAACTAAGTACAAATACTTTGTTACTGTACTTAAAAAATTTGGTTATCTGTACTTTACTTGAGTTATTATTTTCAATTATTTTAATTTTTATTTACTTTTTACTTTTACCCATTACATTTTTACACAATTATCTGTACTTTCTACTCACTACATTTTTTAAAAAGGTAAGAAGTAGGAAGTCGTTACTCCTATTTTATTCCGAGTTGTTATTTCTTTTTAAAAAAACTATTGTGATAAATTATGTCTCCTGGATAGAGTGAATTTAACTGTGGTTGGATGAGAAGTATAAATATATAGAGTGGACTCAGCTGGATTTAGCCGAAAAGGTTGTCCTGTTTAAAACTTGTAAAATAAACTTAAAAAAAGTAATCCTAAACTAAAAAGACATATAAGCAGATTAAATAAAGCAAATAAAAATCTTTTTCAGGCAAATAAAGGAGCCTTTAGTTGAAAAACGTCTATGACTCTAATACCAGTACTTCATAAAAAATGAGTAAAATCAGATTAATATTAATATTTCTGTTTAAAGAGGAATTTGATCTCTCTGCAGAAGTCAGATATGTTTCAGTAAATGTCGAGACTGAAGCTTTGAGGTGATTTACTCYTGCAGTAATGACTGAAACAACTCGCCACAATGAATACAAACGGAGTTTCAATCGTCGTGTCGATCAGGCGGCAGCTTCAGTGAGTCACATTTAATTTGCAGTTACAATATTTAARAACAGTCATGTTTTCTACACCTCTGAAAGGTTTTACAGCATCCAGCTGAAAAGAAGATGAGATTATTTTCCAGTAATTTCCCTCTGTTAGGAAAACACTCCTAAAAAAATGTCCATAAATATGAATAACGATCACGGCCGAGCTCTTGCATCTTATTCAGACGTGTTGTCTTGATTTGCTCCTGCTGTCCAATTTTCGTCCAGTATTCCAGCAGCACCTGCACTCTAATCTAATTTCATGCTCTACTTCTGCAGGAAATGACTTCTCCGTGCAAGCAGTGCGATGTGGAGTGGATAAAGAAGGTGGGAGACGAGCAGTAAGTGACCAGAGTGGATCTTTGGGGAGGAGGGACGGAGACGGACGGAAAGCAGGACAGGAAGGAGATGGGAGATGTATTTTTCAGTCTGCGCTTCTGTTTMCCTCTCGTTATTTTGGCTCTAAAGGAGTGAGAGACCCAGGTGTTTCAAACAGCAGASAAGCTCTGAAACTAAATGGGTTCAAACTCTG